CAAACTTTGAACCAGCCCCAGGAAAATGGGGTCGTGCTCTCTGCCCCAGGGAATAAATAGCAAGAGCTCATTTCACAGACCAGACTTCTGCACTACTGGCCTACTTTCTGCACCAAGTGGCAGGAAGCCAACTCAGGGGCTCCCTGCCTTCCTCTCCACCTCTTCCAGAACCTTCAACAGGGCTCTTGTTCTCTCGGTGGATGATGACCATAGTTTCCCAGCCCATCGGTGAGAAAGGAGGTGAGGAAATCAGCCCAGGGGTTTGATGGCCAAATATTTCTTTCCCTAGGAGGACAGTGCATTCAAAGCCCAGAGTGGCAGATTGGAGTTAAGCCAGCCATACACCATCTTAATGAACACTAATGTAGAGCTGCAATCACCCTGGACTCCAAAACACAAACAAGAACTTTAGACAGGGAACCTCATCTACCCAGGAGGCTGGGCACGGAGGCCGGGCACTGTTTTTATGGTTGCTTAGCAATGGAAAATGAACTGCACCTGCCTCTTATCGCGGGAGGTAAAGGTAGGACAATGAGCTTTATTGGACTGAATAGGTATAAAATTAGTTTATTCTTCCTCACTTGGAGAAAGCAATTGGCAGTGCTGGGAATCACTTGGAGCAGGGGAGGTTCACAGGTAAGGGGGTGACTTTCTCTTTTGTTACCTTAGACAACACTAATCTTGTTTTTTCTTCCACCAATAAAGTTTGGACTTTTGCCCAGCTTCCTTCCCAGACTATCAGTAGAGAAAATACCTACAAGTATTCACCCAGAAACCAGGGCAGAAAGTAGAGTGAGCTCTAGCTCACTCTAGGAGGGGTACCAAGAAACGAGTCAGGATAAAGGATAATTTAATGTAATATTAAATGTGGACATTTTGGGAGGTTCATTATTTACCATACTATACTTGGCTTTAAATGAAATTAGGAGGGGCTAGGAAGGTGGCTCAGTGGTAGAGTGTTTGCCTCACAGGCATGAGGCCCTGGGTTCGATTCCTCAGCACCACATAACAGAAAAGAGCTGGAAGTGGCACTGTGGCTCAAGTGATACAGTGCTAACCTTGAGCTGAAGACCTCAGGGACAGTGGCCAGGCCCAGAGTTTAGGCCCCACAACTGGCCAAAAAAAAAAAATTAAATCATGAGTTTGTTTAGGTTAAAAAAAAAAAAAGGCTGTAAAGCATCAACCCACATAGATGAATAAAAATCCACAGGGAGCTAGGTGCTGGTCCTAGCTACTCAATAAGCTGAAGTCCCAAGGATCACAGTTTGAAGCCATCCTGGGCATGAAAGTTTGTGAGACTCTTATTTTCTATTTTCCAATGAACTACTAAAAAGCTAGAAGTGAAGCAATGGTTCAAGTGATATTGCTTTGAGCAATAAAACCCAGAGACAGTGTCTAGGCCTTGAGTTCAAGCTCTAGGCCCAGCACTAAAACAAGCAAGCAAAAAACCCATAGGGAATAAAATGTTCAATTTTCAGATAAAGAAAGGCCTGGAACTATCAACTTTTATCCCTTGGCCTTGAGCTTCAATACAGTACTGCGTAATCCAGCCATTGACATCTTTACACAGGGAAGGGTTTAGGGCTGCACTTCTGAAGAGAATGCCAGTGCTGTGGTAGAGGGCTGTTGTTTTCTTCTCTTTTTAAGTCAGAGATGAGGTCTCAGACTTAGGTCTTGCCTTCCCTCATTGGCTGGAGATGTACTGCCTGAGCCATGCCTCCAACCCCCTCCTTATTCTTTTGGTAGTCCTTTAGCCTGCCTTTTCTCAAACAGCAGGAATATAAATAGCCTTGGGGAGGGAAAACCTACCTGTGCCCCAAAGAGGGCTGAAGGCATGGTCCACATAGCACAGCACCAGACAAGCAAGTAAGCTGAGCCAAGGGAAAGTCCTGTATGGAAAGAAAACCAAACAATCCAGTGACCAGGAAGAGCTGACGCAAAGTGGAGAGGTTTGTCTGTCAGATGTCGGGCTTGCTTAACAGTTATAGTCAGTGAGATAGCATGGTACCTACCTAGATCAATCGCCAGACACTTGCCGTTTTCCCTTTGCTTTCCAGCCAGCATCCTCAACCACAAGCTCCACCGTGATAGGCTGTGTAGACACAGGCTCAAAACAACAAGGCCACGTGACTGTAGACAGAAATCTTTGAAGCTATGGGCCAAATTCAGCCATGTGTGTGTGTGTGTGTGTGAGAGAGAGAGAGAGAGAGAGAGAGAGAGAGAGAGAAATGGGGCTTGAACTCAGGTCCTAGGTGCTGTCCCTAAGTTCTTTTGCTCAAGCCACAGCTCCACTTCCAGTTTTTGGTGGCTAATTGGATATCAGAGTCTCATGGAGACCTTTCTGCCAGACTGGCTCAGACCTTGTGATCCTCAAATCTCAGCCTCCTGAGTAGCTAGGATTACAGCCACTGGTGCCTGGCTTATGCCTTTTATTAAGTTGTTTTTCTCAGGTAGTTTGTCATAGCAACAGCAAACTGACTAACACACTTGGCTGCATGGCTCTGTCTCCATCCTCTGCTACTAAGGTCATGTGGCTGTCTGCCTTGTGTGTGTCTATGTCTCTGTATCTTTATCTCCTCCTCTTTCATAAGGATACTAGCCCTTGGATTTAGGACCGACTCTAATCTTCTAATAAGATCTCATCTTAACAAACTGCAGCTACAGGATGGAATCCCTGCTTCCAACAGGGAGGCTGGAGGAACAGTGACTCTCCTATGTGTATACAGTAAAAAGAGGGACCAGGATTCTGCTCCCAGCACAGTGTCTCTATTACCACCCTTCACTGCCTCTCAGTTGTCTCCATTTGTAGAATTGAATCAGAGTTTTATTGCCTTCAAATTGCTGGGCACAGCATCCTAACAGCATTTCAGGGACCAGGGCCTTAGAAATCTCATTTCCCCTGGCCCCGGCCCTCCAGGGAGCAGCATCTTTCAGATTCCTTTGGAAGCAGATTCACTGGCACAGCAGCCTCGTCTTCCCGTGGCGTTCTCTGGTCACTTCCCTGGTTCCACTCAGGGGCCTGTGCCTACCTATCCTCCTCAATATAACAGGTCCTTATCACCGGTGTGTCGGTGATTAGCAGGAGAGTTGAAAACACAGTTCAGAAGCTCAGTTACAAAATATTAAAAAGATCCCTCCCCCCCAAAAAAAAGGAAAAAAAAATCAACACAACATCCACCAAACCCTAACCCACATCTTCTATTGGAACCAATCCAATATTTCTTCACACTGACCTAAACACTCCCAGTTTTGTTGTCTGGATTGCTCTAATCCAGCATATGTGTGTGTGTGTGTGTGTGTGTGTGTTCCTTCTCTAACAAAAATTCTATACAACTCAACAAAACACAAAACACAAAACGCATTTTTCTTCTCCTAATGGATGTCACATCCCTAGGGCAAAAAGTTCTCTTAGTAGGACTAGTTGCCCAGGTGTCCTGGTTGATCATGGCGATATCTCTTTACCAGCTAAATGGGCCCAATTACTTTGTCTTAACCAGTTCCCCTCCTGGTTGGCCTCTGGTAGCCACACTTGCTTCTTTCTCTCCAGGCCTTTCCGCTGGCTTTTCCTTCTGCCCAGAGCTCTCTTCCCCTGGGAACTTTTACGGCTTTCTTTCACCTCCTTTGGGTCTCTGCCCACAGGTCACCTTGAGAGGGACATCTCCTCTAACCATTCTGTCAAGAGAGCAAGAAGTGCCCTGCCCCCACCCAGGCCTTCCTCCCCTCCATCCTCACAGCCTCCCTCTCAGGGCGACCTGGCTTGTCAAACATTGATCTGCTTTTCCTCCATCTCCTTAACAAGAATGCCTGCTCTTGACAGCAGGACTTTAGGGGTTGTACCGTAAGAACAGTATCTCGCACACACCAAGGGTGTGTAAATATTTGTGTGAATAAATGATCTCTAAGTTTAAGCAAGAAGATTCAATGTTGAAATTATTATTTCAGCTGGGCCCTGGTGCTCACGCCTGTAAACCTAGCTACTCAGGAGGCTGAGATCTGAGGATGATGATTCAGAGCCAACAGGAGCAGGAAAAGTCCATGAGACTCCTTTATCCAATTAGCTACCCAAAAGCCTAAAGTGCAGCTGTGGCCTAAGTGGGAGAGTGCTAGTCTTGAGCATAAATGGCTCAGAGACAATGCTCAGGACCTGAGTTCAAGCCCCAAGACCAGCACCAATAAATAAATAAGCAAACAAATAAATATTTGGTCTATTTTTCCAAGAGAAATGAAGGATGAACCTTTGCTTCAGGCTGTTCACTTTTTGCTTTTCAATGTTGCTATTTCAATTTTTGCTTTTTCAATGTTGTATATAAAGTTTTATCCAAGAGATATATTCTGCCAAGAAAGAAACTTCAGCCATCAATAGTAACACCAAGGATTCTTTTTTTTTTTTTTTTAAGTGGTGGTCGTGGGGCCTGAACTCTGGACCTGGGTGCTGTCTTCAGCTCAAGGTTAGCACTCTACCACTTGAGCAAAAGTGCCACTTTCAGTTTTCTGGTGGTTTACTGGAGATAAGAGCCTCATAGACTTTCCTGCCTTGGCTGGCCTTGAACCATGATTCTCAGATCTCAGCATCCTGAGTAGCTGGATTTCAGATGTGAATCACTGGCTCTCAACAAGGATTCTTAGCTTTTGGAGAGCATGGACTCCTTTGGAGTCTGATACAAAGTACACCATTTATTTGCAGGAAAGTATGGACCATGTGGTAGGGGTAGGAACTGTGAGCGCCCACAGCCCTCTCCCGTCCACTCCCTGGTTTAACATCCCTGTCCTCTCATAAGTATTCGTTGAATGAATATCCTGTATTTTTATTTCTCAGCGTTACCCCCAAATGTATTTTGCTGTAACAAATCACCACAAATTTGATGCTTAAAACACAGAGATTTATTCTCTGACAATTCTGTATGCAGTGTCCAGAACCAATACCCTTGATCTAAAATCAAGTGTTAGCTAGGACAAGCTCCAGTTAGGAGGGTGAATCCCAAATCCCCTAGGCTCTAGAAGATTCTTCACTTTTCAGCTACTGGGAGCTCCTAGCATTCCTTGGCTTGTGACCACGGTCACTCCTATAGCGGTGGGAAGATGCAATATTTTTCTTTCCCATCATCAGGGTCACAGTCAACATTCCTATAAGACAGGTTAACAAAAGAAAAGCATAAACTATTTAATCATAGTATTGGGTTACATGGGCAGAATCCATATTGGTGCGTAGGTTCAATGAAGCAGAGACAGCTGTGTGGAAATGTAAATGGATAAAAAGAGAATGATGTAATCATAATAAACCATGAGGAAGCTTAGCCAGGCCTGTCTACTGAGCTTCTTCTCTGCCTCTCTGTTGTAGAATTTCTCCCTCCAGAATATGGACCATAACTTGTCTGAAACCAGGAAGGGTCTTACAACCTATTATTGGGCAAAATAGGCCATAGATCTTCTTCATAGTCAGCTTCTAGACAGAGAGGAGTAGGGATTGGGAAAGGGGTATTAATTCTAGTTTGTCTAGCTTTGGTGACAAGAAGTGTCTATGGCTCACTTTAAAGGAAAACTAAGAAGTGGAGGACAGGAGGGTAGGAGAAGGCCAGAGAGACCTTAGCTTTGAGTCTGCTAAGTGTGACCTTCCCAACACCCTTCAGCTCAAAGTACTTGACACGTCAAAGCTCCAGACCCTGAGACAGCGTTTCTGAGTCCTGGACATCTTTTTGCCTTCTCTTTCATGGCCGTCAGACCTCCCCGAGCCTCCCTGGCAATCCTGGCAGTAAGATCTCCAGCTTACATGGAAGATCTGGTATAATCTTCTCACCGCAAGATCCTTAATCACATCCTCTCAGTTGTTCCAAAGCCATCTCAAACCACACATGCAGGTTCCAGGATTAGGGCCTTATGTCTTTGGGAGCCACTAGTCAGCCTACAGTACCAAATAAAGAGAGAAAACAGCACACACCAACATGCAGAGAGTTATCCGCAGATGGATGGATGTATTTATCTTTTTACTATGTTGTGAAGCTGGGTAGAGCGAGCATGTAGAAGGCTGGGCTACCTCAGGCTCGGCCTCAGGGGATTTGTTTAGAAGTCACAGGAAGCATTTCAGGTTGCCAGAAAGCCGCACATACACAAGAGAGAGCTGGGAGACTTATTTAAATGACTTTCTAACCCCAGGGTGTCACCAGGCTGCTGGTGGTGAGCCTGTCTCCAGGCTCAGATCCCCAATTCCACTGAGGGTTATCTGTGTGTAAGGTGTTCCCATGCCCTGCGGGTACCCCGGGCAGCACTGAAAGCCAGGTAGCTACCCGCCTGTAAACTTTGCTGCAGTGAAGACGAGGGATTGCAAGCAGTCACTCCTAGGTATGCGAGAGCCTGAGAAGGGCGTCCTTACGGAGTGAGTGAGGCCACAAAGCAAACCACTTCTGCAAAGGCTGGCTGCCATTCTACCCCCTCCATGTCCATCAGAGTTACAAAGATAGTATCTTCAACCCCAGAGAGTCGCACAGTGCCTTTTTGCCATTAGGTCACACTCATTTGTTTAAGCAAACGTTTCCAAAAGATTCCCACCCCTGCCCCCGCCCCCTCCATCTCAGAACCTGAAGCAAGGTAGCCAGTCTCTGAGATGGGACTTTTCAGAATTTTGGGTTAAAAGCTGTTGAACAAAATCTCACCACGTTTCAAGATGTCAAGTGGCTTTATTCGTGATTCTAGAATCAGACACTGGAAGTACTCTGTTGGTCTCACCGGATAGATTGGTTTTTATATGCAGAAAAGGGCTAAAAAAATCAAGCAGAGAACAAAATGCACAGCGAACATTTTGAAGTTACCTATAAGGCAAGGAAGGGAAGACAGAAGAGGAGAGAAATCACTGCTTGGTTAATGCCAGGTAAATGCAGGTTACTAACTTGGTAAAGATTAAATCAGAGGGACCTTGATCATCCCAACTGTCCTGGTTGGGAAAACAAGCTCTGATCTCTCCTGATTTCTCAGGAAATCAGATAACTCAGTTTTAGTTTGGTGGTATGAAACTTTAGCGTGTGTGACGCCATTTTGATTTTTAGTCTTCTCCATAGGGGCCTAGTATAGAAGCCTAGTCCAAAATAGTGATCTATAATTTTTATTTGACAAGTCTCAAGGTAAAAGGCAACAAGTAGGCTATCATTCAAAAGACAGCTACAGACCAGCCCCGGAAGGATTTCCAGATATATGGCAGTGCTTACCCTCTGTCAGTCAATCTCTGTCTTCCACCAATATATACAAGACTAGAAATCTGTGGGGACCCATGAAGCAAGAGGAAGTGATAGCTGCTAAACTGAAGATTGCCTCTCCCTTCCACAAAGCTGTCCACGTCTGCATCCCTGGCATTGGCAAACATGCTACCTCGCAAATGGGATTAAAATTAACAAGTTTCAGAGACAGAATTTATCCTGTATTATTTAGGTGATTCCAATCTAATCCTTTTCTTGATTGGTCAGAAAGAGTTGTGACCAGGAAAGAAAGAGAAAGACAGCTACAGAGAAGCAACTACTGACCTCCAAGAGAGAACAGAGTAGAGGGGTCCACAGCCCAGAATGTAGGCTGTCAGCTTCTAGAAACTGAAGAATAAAAGGAAACAGAGCTTCCTTCCTCAGAGCCACCAGAAGCAAGACCCGCCAATGCCTTTGTAACCCACTGAGGTGTCCAGTGAGACCCATATTGGTTCTGATTGATGCTTTAATTGAAGCTACTTCAGTTTGCGTGTAGCAATGATTTTACAAAAAGAAGAAAACTAACTGATCAGTGGGCTATGTAGATAAAAAGGAGTTCTTTGGATTGCTTTCTTTTCTTTTCTTCTCTTATTTTATCATTCGTGGGGCTTGAACTCAGGGCCTGGGTGCTGTGCCTAAGTTTTTCTGCTCAAAGCTAGTGCTCTACCACTTTGAGCCACAGCTCCATTTCTGGTTTTCTGGTAGTTCACTGGAGATAAGAGTCTCATGCAGTTTCCTGCCCGGGCTGGCTTTGAACTATGATCCTCAGATTTCAGCCTCCTGAGTAGCTAAGATTATAGGTGTGAGCCCCCAGGGTCTGGCAGTTCTTCAGATTTCTGAGAAGTCCGCTCTCTAGCTAAATGGGAGCTCCAGAGAACTACCTGCCCCTGGAGATGCAGAAAGGCACCAAGAAGGTTCCAGCCCTCAAAAAGGCCACAAGCAAGGGGCACAGGAACATAGTTTGTGAGATCAAGAACAGATGCATCCCCAGGCTCTAAGTAACATAACCATGAACTGTGGTGTCTCCCTATTGCTGGTGGGTGGTGCTGGCTCATGTCTGGACCCCTAAGAAGGGCTGGGGTACTCACTTTGTCTGTTCTCCCGGCATGCCCATGCTAGTAATGTTTCCCTTGAGGTCTTCCCTTCATGAATACTCATGCCCTGTCATGGTGGGGGCAACTGACTGAGCCAGATATGGGAACCTCTGGAGTTTGAGCCTGGGACCTAAGATTACTTTCACAGTGACTTTTCTGACTGTCCACTCTCCAGGAATTCCCACATGGCCAGTTATCCTTTTGGGTTTTTACATAAGCTTTTTTTTTTTTTTGTCGGTAGTGGGGCTTGAACTCTGGGCCTGGGCTCTGTCCCTCAGCTCTTCAGCTCAAGGCAAGCGCTCTACCACTTGAGCTACAGCGCCACTTCCGGTTTTCTGGTGGTTTATTGGAGATAGGAGTCTCACAGTCTCTCCTGCCCGGGCTGGCTTTGAACCGCGATCCTCAGATCTCAGCCTCCTGAGTAGCTAGGATTACAGGCATGCACCACCAATGCCCGGCTACATAAGCTTTATTATACCGGCATGTGTTAGGTTTTTAAAGAGGAGGCCAACTAAGAACAACACCGTGCATGTGGTATTCAGGTAAAAGGTAGGTTTATTCATCCTTCGGTCTGGCACTAGGCCATGTCGGCACTCCACACGGCTGGGAAAGAGGACGTCTGGCCCTGGGCTAGGTCTTATCTAGAGTACGGGTGGGAAAGGTGTGGCCAGGTAAAGGGTGGTGGGACCAGGCGGGAGAAAGTTGTGGCCAAGTAGAATCCAGATGTGACCTCAGCGGATGCATGCAGATGTGACCTCTTCCAGGTGTGCCAGTTGTCTAGGTAAGGCAGGTACTGGGCAGAGACTTTGCTGTGAGGAGAGTGGAATCTGCTTGCCATCCAGGAGTAGACCTTACAGAATGGTTGATTCCATCCTTGGCCAGTGTTTTGCCCATATAACGATCTGCTATAATGCAACTTTCAGGTCAGTCATCTGGTCTTTCTACCTTAGGAGAAGGACATGGTAGAGAATTGGTCATTCAACTCACCTACCCGAATCTACATTGCATTAATCAGTTCACAACCCCAAAGAGAAGATGACAGAATTTTCAGTGGTTTCATTTTCTCCATAATATTTTGTACACAATTGGAATTTTTCTAAGGAGTTTATTTTTCTTTAAAAAAAAAAAACAAGAGCAGGTGAGTTTGACCAGATGCTGTGATACACGTGTATAATCCCAGCTACTTGGAAGATAAGAGAGAGGAGGATTTCACTTGGAAGCTTACCTGGGTGAAACATTAGTAAGACTATCTTAAAGAACAAGGCAGGTGTCAGGGCACATATCTGTAAGGCTAGCTATTCAGAAGAAGGTAGGAGATCCTGGTCCAAACTCAGCCAGGGCTAAAATTATGAGATGCAATCAGGAAAAAAAAAATGACTCAAGGAAAGAGAAAAGAAGGGGGGATGGGTGGAGGAATGGCCCAAGTAGTAGAGCACTTACCTGACATACTCAGAGCCCTGACGTCAAAGCCTAACTGCTGCCAAAAGAAAAAAAGAAAATGAGGAGAAAGGAAATGAAGAAAAGAAGAAAAGAGATAAATGGTAGGACATGAGAAGTAGCCAACTTACTCTTACATTGGGAATTCCAGCGGCCAATTTAGCAACACCAGAAGCTGTTAAAAAAATCCACTGGAACCATGAAACCCACAATTTTACTCCCAACCAATTGTCCTCGGGAAATACACTACCCCATTAGAATCCAATTTCTGAATATACAAAAATTGCCTTCTGAAGAGTTGTCTTCATGATCTATAAGAAAGAAGAGGTTGATAGATATTTTCTGTTCCATGTTTGCTACAGAGAGTTATTTTGTCCTCCAGGAGTTTCCATAATAAAATATATTTGAACGGTATGTGCATTTTTTGATCACTGTGAAATGAAGCAGTTGATCTGAATTGATCCCCCTGGATTCCATAAGGTTCATGCAGATCTAGACAGAAGGTAGGCGAGCAAAATCACTCCATTTCAAGAGCAGAAGGTGCTGAGAGCTAAGGAGCTTTGTCAAAGACACTGACATTGAACCCTAGCCTCAGGGATTCTAGGGCTGGCTGATCTGGAGCATTGCTGGACAGCAGCATTTGAAAACCCTCCCCAGACAATTCTAATGTGCAGCCAAAGTCGAAACTCATACCAGACCATCAGAATAAATGGCTGCACGACACATAATTCATAACTGTCCTTTCAAAATGCAATAGTTACATGTTCCCAGGCTGCCTGCTCAAAAGGTTCGTTGTCATTTTTACTGAAGTAAAATTGCCGTGCAGAAACGCATGCATGTTGTATTCTCTGCAGTAAGCTGCGAATAGCAAACAGCTCAGAGATGATTTACACGCCCATCAACCATGGGAAGGAGAGACAGACACATTGAAAGTATTTCTACAGTGGCCTATTACACAGTAGATAAAAATGAATGAACTAGATATACAACAACCTAAGTCAATTTCACAGAATATATTGCTGAATGGAAAAAGTTGAAAGGTAACTCCAGTGTGATACTATTTATGGCAAATTTAAAAAAAAAACAAAAACAAAAAAAACCACAGCACTATGGAGCCAGGTGCCGGCAGGTCACACCTATAATCC